GACATCAGGTAGAAAGATGAGGGTTGTTGGAGAAGATGTGCCCTAAGTACCGACAACAGATTGCTTTATTTGATGTGACCATTTATGAGGAAATGTATCACAAGCTACGAGTGGCTATTAGAAGAGGTCGAGAGGCAGAAGCTAAGTGAAGAAGAGATAGTCTAGGAAGGTTTTTAACCCTATTAGGTCCCACAAGTGGAATATCTAAGAAATTAGGTGTAGCCTGAGCAATTTTGGGGTTTTAGGGAAAAAGAGATTTGGAGGATTACAATCCTGTTCAGTACAGAAAGGCTTAGTACAAAAAGGTAGTGGAATAAGAATTGAGGCTTCATAACCTTCAGGTAGGCTTTTAATGTAGCTACTCCAACACTAAGTACTAGTTAATCGCTATAGTATGCTAAGTATGACTGATTTTATGTTGGAAAATGTCAAGCTTGCTTTAAGTGCTTAAAGACAGGTTACATTGCTAGGCAGTATCTAAAGGGTCAAGTTGAGACAGCTAAGCAACGATCTACCATTCCTAGAAGAGTAATCGCGGTGACCTAGGAGGAAGTCAAAGCATCTCTGAACTTAATTAAAGGTATAATTTTGATCTATAATGAGAGAATAGAGGCTTTATTTAATTCTAGTGCTATGCATTCTTTTGTATCTAAAGAATGTGTAGATAGATTGAAATTTTCTTTGAAAGAGTTTCTAATTATTATTAAAAAATCAATACCTTTAGGATCTTTTAACATAACGAGCAAAGCATGTCTGAATGTTGAGATTAAGTTAAAAAAAAAGGTTTTAGTGATTGATTTGATCTATATCTCCATAAAAGAAATATATGTGATCATTGATATGGATTGGTTAGCTGTTAATGATGTTATGTTAGATTGTGCTAGCAAGATGGTTTCTTTGCCTGTACTTGCTATGGATGTGGGTTATCCCAGGAAATTTAGATTTTTATTAGTAGTTCAAGCAAAGAAACTTATTAAACAAGGATGCCAGGTTTCATAGTTTTCTTTTCAGGCAATAGTGTGTATGACAAAAGGATTGATAAGATTGGTGTGATGAATGAGTTCCTTGAGCTATTTTTTGATGAGATGTTCGAATTACCTCCATTTTAAAACACCGTGGATTCAATATACTAACCTCTTTTAAGCGAATAGTAATGACCTATTATTAACCAAACTTAAAGTTGATGATTAAATACTTTATTAAACTAAGGATCAACCTTAACTAAGGTTAATTTTAATAATTAACTTTAAAAGCATTAGTATGAGTCTTTGACAAGTGTGTAGTGAAGTATGAGTCTTTAAAAAGCCATTTAAAATCTGAGCATAAAAGTTTGCAAACACATGAAAATAGGTTAAGCATTGAGAATAGACTAAACAAGGTCAAAAATGTCAAAACCGTAAGTCTAAGCACATCCGCAGTGGCTTAGCAACCTTCTACCACGATCGACAATAAGCAACACATCCACTATAGCTAAGCAATCATCTATTACGACATGTGATATAAAGACCACTTTGTCGTGGCCAATGGCTCTATCTACTGCAGCATAACATCACAAACAACACAACAATATGCTAAAATAAGTCATGACTTTCAATGCACCTAATTGTGACTCTTAAATGAGTTAAGTAATATTGGCCAGGTAGCTTTTCATACATGAAAGGCTAGGGTAGTTTTATCACATAAATGATCCCATTATGTAGCAGCCCACAGTTTCATATTGAAGGCATAAGGAGGATATAAAGAAGGTATAATCATGCATATTATAAATAAGGGTACATGATTGTTTGTATTATGACCCTTATGATGAATTTTTGTGAAAATATGTGATTAGTGTTATACAAATGTGAAAATGAGCTATTTAGATGACAATACATGTGTTTGTGTGAATAAGGATGTGAAATGCCAAAAACATATTTTTGAATTGATAAGTTAATATGAGCATGAAAGTGAATTGCCACTTGCATTGAAATTAATTGACATGCATTAATATAGGTTAAATACACTTTAGTTATTGAGTAATTATACTCATCTCTCTCTCTGCAATATCATAGAAGCTAGTTCATTAGGGTGGAACTAAGGAAATAGTCTAAGGCTTAGGATATCCATCCTAATTTATAGGCTCTTTTATTTTGGGTATTATGTGTATAATTTGTTATGATATTGCTAACTAGGAGATTTCATGTTTACTTACTTGCAGTATGTGATTGTAAGCTAAGTTGTGTATTTTACTCCCTAAGTTGTATATGTATTAATTGTGAAATTTACAAAAAGTCAAAATACTAGTATAAGTGAGAAATGAGCAAGATATGCGATTGCTGATGAATGATGATATGATTTATGAAATTGAGACTCCCCTTTTCATTTTTGTTATTAAGGAGTTTAGTATTGAAAATGTGATAGATATTATATATCATTGTGTTCAAATAACAACCAGCGTTCAATGTGCCATAATCAATCAATCATCATCTCAGCACATAACCATATACCATCACATCAAGCTCATTCACATATCTATTATTTCAAGAGACCATGTAACCATGCATATGACTTTCACAAAACATAGTAATTCATTTATAAGCTTGCATTGTTATTAATTATTTTAACACCAAAGTTCTTTAACATAAAATCTCATTAAAATCGTATCAATCATCAATTTTAAAACCCATATATACATTTTTTCATTACAAAATCATATGCCATATTATAGCCAATAAAAATTTATTTCATATATTCAAGAACATATTTACAAAATTCTACAATCAATCACGAGCAAATTCATAAAACTGGATTTCTCTCAGTTACCTTAAACGTTTGAGAGGTCAAATGTTTATCTTTCAAATATAACTTGCTTCTAAAGTTAGTATTGAGCTCAAACGGTGCACAAGACAATTAATCTATAATTAATCATGTTAATCACCATTAATATCATTACAAACGCGCTTCCAACTCTCAATTCCAATACTTTGACTATCTAGAATTCAAACCAATAATATTTGCTCATAACTATTATGCGTATTAGCTTCTTTTAGCTCTAACTAACTTCATTAAATTCATTAGACTCCATTAGTAGTTGCTAACCTCTCCCAACAACCACAATTAATGTCATTTTCGTCTATCATGATTAGCCCAAGATCAAGGATACTAAAAAAATTAAGCCTAGATTTAGATAACCTAAACAATTTTATTAACTTTATTTAAGTCAATAGGCTTGGACCCATAGTACTATAGGTTCAAAAATTACTTTCCCAAGGCAAAGCCTCGCTTAGAAATGGTGTAAAAAGAAAGAGGAGAGGCTAGTGAGGGCTTAGCTTAGTATAGGCAAGCTTGAATCACTCCAACAAACTCCAACCACTGAGCCCTAGCGGACCCAACCTTGAGCACCTTGTCCCTCTCTCTCAAACTCTAATTTTCTCCTTTGGTTTTTTTTCGACGCAAATGCATTCTTTATAAAAAATAAAAATTGACCATGCGTAGTGGATGGTATAGAGAGAGAAGCTTTAGTCTTCTCTCTTTTTTAGAGCTCATGTTGCCCAACTCTGCTTTAGACTCGATCCGAAGGCTCTAACCACAACCTAATAAATCCATTTAAATTTACTTAATTACTCTTATTAACTTCATTAATCTAGGAGTTAAATCTTAAGATGTTAATTGCTGAAGTTATTTATCATGTTATTTTTACTCAAATTTATTCCAAATGTTACTTTCATGTTAAAACGAGTTATTTATTTACCTACGTATTGTTGTTCATTTCCTTATAACTATTGTTCATTACTCTATAGGAGTTATTTATAAAGTTACTTTTACTTGATTTTATTTTAAGTGTTGCTTTTATATTATGACAATTTGTTCATTTGTCTACGTGTTGTTGCTCATTTCCCTATAAACTGTCATTCATTTGCTTACTAGAGTTGTTTATAATGTTACTTTCACTTGATTTTATTTCAAGTGTTACTTTCATGTTAAGATGAGTTGTTCATTTGCCTATGTATCATTGTTCATTTTTTAAGAACTGTTGTTCATTGATGTATTGAAGCTATTTATAATGTTACTTTTATTGTATTTTTTTTCCAAGTATTGTTTTCATATTAAAATAATTGTTCATTTGTATACGTACTGTTATTCATTTCTCAATGAATTATTGGTCATTGACTTACTACAATTGTTTATAATGTTACTTTCACTTAATTTTATTTCAAATGTTACTATCATGTTAAGAACACATTGTTCATTTGCCTATGTACTATTGTCCATTTTTTTTTATTAACTATTGTTTTATTTCAATAATTTAAACGATGATGATTAGCTTTATCATTTCCTTCAGCATTTTAGTTTCACTTCAATATCTTTGTACTAAAGTAAAGTTTTAAAATTTTTGAAATTCTCTTTTTTGTTAAGTATAATCAAGGGGTCTTAAATAACATTTTCTCAATTAGTTTTCTAAATAGATCCGGTGACTGATTAGCAAGGAGCCAAGTATCAAATATTTAATTTAATTAGAAAATGCATGTCAATTGTGGAGCCACATGAACATTCCAAACAACCAGCGGAGAGACATATTATATAACACGAACAAGAGAGGAGCACGTCAGCTAGATGGGGGTTTAAGCCAGGCGCGCCACAAAATCATCTGCAGCCAATCACAGATGGAGCCTGGATCTTCCCCTTCACTAACTGGGACCTACCTTTTGTGGTTTCAGTGGTGTGCGATAAACGGCCTACTTCTCCTACTTTCGTTTTCAGCAAGTCCTTCCCTCAAAAATCTTCCTGTTGCTGGTTTTCTTCACTCCCATAAAATAGAGAAAACGGTCAAGGAAAAAGAAACCCTTCCTTCCTCGCCTCAAATGCAACTCACGGTTCAAATTCAAGAGCCCTGATTTGTCTGCCAACGTATAAGCATCTTGTTGCCTCGCAATCTGCAATCGGAAAAAAAATATCTATCCCTAATGACTCGGTTCTTTTAAAGAGAGATTGGGTCTGAATTTCTAGAAGGAAAAGCAGCGATGGCTACGTCGACTAGCTTCTTGTGCAGTAGAACCCCGGCAAAATGGGCTTCAAAACGGTGTTTGCATTTCGTCGCAATGCCTCTAATGGGCCCTTTTCTTCACCTCGGTCCCTCAGTCTATTTACTCGTAATAATGCCTATACCTTGTGCAGCTCATCACCTTCATTTGGCTTCCAACAACCCATTCGAAACGTCCCAACGGCAGCAATAATGAAACTAAGCTTTCCAGTAACACCAAAAGCAGAAGACGACGTCGATTTAAAGCAAGTACGAAGCTGACTAGTGCTAACGAAAACTAAGAAGAATGGTTCTACCCAATATCCATCTAAATTCATCCTTGCCAGTGTTCCCGGCAGTGGACTTGAACCCCAGATAGAAGAACAGGAGGAGGTCCAAGGCATTGAGAGAGGGAGAGAAAGTAGCATTGAGGCACCGCTCAACGTGAGTGGTATCTACCAGAATGGAGACCCACTCGGGCGGAAGGATATGGAGCCGATTGAGTTCTTGGTTAGCCATGGTCAGGCTCAACAAGAACTCTGTGACACTATTTGTAATTTAAATGCCATCAGTACATCTACAGGTCTTCCCTTACTCCTGTCTCTTATTTAATTTCTACTATTTGAGGGCAACTGAGTCAGAATATTCAGGTCTTAGTTTTCTCCTGCAATTCGGTCTCTCCTTTTTATGTGCTTCAAAATACGTTAGTTTGAATTTTTGTTTTCTTATGCCTCCGTAAATAGGAAAATTCATGTCTATGCCTATTGGGATGTACCTTTCCAACTATACTTTGCCCTAGAGATGGATATAATTGAGTTTTCACATGCTTATGACACAAGGTTATGTTACAGGAAATTCCTTTATATAGTGGACTTGGTTTATGTTCGGTGAACTAATAACAAAACTGTTCGGAGATAGATTCAAATTTATTCCTATTTTCTGAATCTTTGCTAAGCTTGCCAATTTTTTATTAAAATGTAAGTCATCTTTACATGTAATTCAATGGACGTCTCTATGCTTCAATAATCAAATTCCTTAGCAAATATATTTGTTCGATTTCAATTGAATGGTATTACATTATTGATGCAACACATTCAAATATATTCTTAACAAGACTCAAAACAAATCGGTAAGTGGTGTTGTCACGTTTGATATCATAAACAGGATTGGGAGGAATGCATTTGGTTTTATTCAAGGTTGAAGGGAACCACCGGTTACCACCTACTACACTTTCACCTGGAGACATGGTTTGTGTGAGAACATGTGATAACAGGGGCACAGTCACAACCTCTTGCCTGCAAGGCTTTGTTAACAATCTTGGGGATGACGGCTGTAGTATCAGTGTTGCTTTAGAGTCACGCTATGGTGATCCCACATTCTCTAAACTCTTTGGGAAGAGTGTGCGTATTGACCGAATCCAAGGACTGGCCGATACTCTTACCTATGAGGTACTTGACATCTATCACATGAATTCTTGCGTACAGTAGAAAAGTTTTATTTGTACCATCTTCGGAGAAAACATTCTAGAGAACATTATCATAGGGTGACCCAAGTATTAAAAATTGTCAAGATGTAATTATGAAGTTTTGTACAGCAATATAAGTGTAGTAATAAGTATCCTAGTTTTTTTGTGCTAAGTTCAATGAATTAAAAACCATAATCAACTAATTCTTGGTGCCATATAAGTGTAGTATTTGGTCTGAAGGGTGCAGAAATTTTATTAACTTATCTGCTATCAAGGATCAATATGCACTTTCTTTGAGTCTCATCTAAAGTAAACTATAAAGCAGCAATTTCTTGTCTTGTTCATGATACATGATGTCATGAAGTGAGATAAGAGACCCTTGGAAATTGCCACATTGAGCACCAGTTTTCACCACTTTGACATGATTTGGTGCCTTGTGAAAGACCGTTTAGACACAGAAATTTAAGCTCTTAAATAAAGACACGAGGATGATGTAACTTAAAATTTCAACCCTAAACCCTAACATATTGCCCATGCAGAAGCCCTTAGATACTAGTGCTCTCTCTTACCACCTTGCCACACCTTCTATAAGTAGCCCTTTTTGGGGATGTCAGTCCAGCTTTGATCCTAATTGATGGTGTGGAAATCTTAGGAAAAAACTGTATTTTTCTCATTGATCTGAATAGAGTTACATCCAAATATATACACCAAGGCTAATCAATGCTAGTAAAGACTAATAATACTAATAAAAGCTATACAATCAGAATTCAATCACAAATGATGAAAAAATAAAGATATCCCCAAACTCCCACTCAAGTTGGGTCATAGATATTAATCATGTCCAACTTGCTTATGCATTCATCAACATCCTCTCTTGGAAGTCCCTTGGTAAGGGCATAATGCAGAAGGGGGGAAGGAGAAGGGAGAAGAGAATATAGAAAAGAGAGAAAGGGAGTAGAGATAATATAATGAGAAGAGAGAAATTCAAAGGAGAGGTAAGATAACAGTAATTTTTATTCAATCAAATGTGAATTTACAAAACAAATGAGCCAAGGCACTATTTATATTCCTCAACTTTAACCCTAGAATTAAATGTGAGAAAATTCTTGAAATCCTAAAGTTAAATAAAAAGATCATAATAATTCAAATATTATGGCAATTAAAACAAAATATTCCTAATTAATAAAATATCCTAATAAAATATCTTCAATCTTTCAATCTTCAATATCTTTAATTACTTATTTTTCTTTTTCTTCCAATAATTTCTCCTTTGCTTGAAGAACTCTCCTTTGGAGAGTAAAATTATGGATATGCTCTGGAAGTATGATGGAATCGAGAGATTCTAGGTCATTGCTATGTTTGGGATCCCCTTCCAGCAAATCAGATACCAATAAATGGCATTAAGTGAACAACAAATAATCTAAGCATGTAGAATCACAGAGTGCACATTTGGAAATCCTTTTCAATGAACGAGATAATATTAGAGGAGATCATGTGATTCAAGAAAAATTTGTTCTTTCAAAGTTGCAATAACCTTAGCACTATGTGGTGTAGCAGACCAATAAGGTAGAACAGGAGCAGGATCAAATTGCATACCATCATTAATAGTTTCAAAAGGAATAACCATCATGGTAGAATTTGTACATGCAATTGCTCTATATATTGTTGACTTCTGCTTGTTTTCAACATCACTTATCTTTGGAGTGGGTGGAGAATCTTTAGTACGGTTTGAAAAACTCCCTCGTGTCTAGATCGTCACATACTTCGATCTCAAAATCATTGATGTTATTACTTTCTAGTACCATTGATATGGGCAAAAGGTCTTTGTTGGGCGTATCATCCCCTTTAGAAGTCAAAATATTAAGGTTTTTGTGTGGTCTTAAGATACTATCAATAGGATTAGAAGTTTCTTCCTTGCTATATGAATTCTCTTTCTCAACATGAATATATGAAATCCAAGTTTGATTGGTCAACCAAATCATACCTATTTTGACATTGATGATGATTAACATAATCATAATGGCATAAATCAATATAATAATATTGACAATGATAATGATATTGACAATTATTAATACAATCATATTGACCATCAATATAATTATATCAGCGATTGAATAAGGTCATAACATCACGATTAAAGGTGTTTTTTTTTTTAATGATTGTAGGTAATGGAAGGTGAGTTTTTTTTTTCCTTTGACTGGGAGGCTCTAATATCCTATTTGAGAAAAGGTTCCTAAGTTGCCCTTACCTAAAAGGTGAAGGCCCTATCCAACAAGTATAACCCTTCAGGAACTCAAAAGTTCATTAGGGATCAAATATACTAAATAAGCAGCAATCTGAGTGAAGTCTTCACAGTGACCTCTGTGGGCCTGGAACCTTAGGGAAATTGATAGAAACTTCGACTAACCTAGGGTAGATTTTGACTTGTGTATAGGGCCAAACTATTTATAAGGTGGATTTTTTTTTGGGTTAAATCAAAGGAAAAATTGAATAAGTGAATGAAGGAAAGGAAAAATGGAATAAGAATTAAATAAAGGAAGGAAGGAAACAAAATATGAAAAATAAAATAATATAAAAAAGTAGGAAATATGGAAGAATGGCTTAAAGTGAAGGAAAGTGAAAACAAACAAGAATAATGGGAAAAAGGAATTAGGAAAAGAGACAAGTAGCAGGAGACCTATAATTCAAGATTGACTAGCTTTACCAAATAACTTAAGGAGCCTAAAGTTATAAACTTATTTTCCAAAGTGTTTCCGTATGATGATTTTTGGTACGAAGAAGGTATTTTAGAGTGGGTTTGGTAATAGAAGCAAAGTGAGAACTTTGATTCTGATGCCAATTGATGCAGAAGGGGGAAGAAGAAGGGAGAAGAGAATATAAAAAAGAGAAAGGGAGTAGGGATAACATAGCGAGAAGGGAGAAACTCAGAGGAGAAGCAAGATAAACAGTAATTCTTATTCAATTAAATATATATCTACAAAACAAATGTGCTAAGGAACAATTATAGACTTCAACCTTAACCCTAAAATTAAATGTGAGAAATTCTTGAAATCCTAAGATTAAATGAAAAGATCATAATGATTCAAATATTACAACAATTAAAACAAATATTCCTAATTAATAAAATATCATAATAAAATATCTTCAATCTTTCAATCTTCTCAAATCTTCAATCTTTAATTACTTACTTTTCTTTTTCTTTCCATCATTAATTGATGCAGAACGAGGAAGGAGAAAGGGGAAGAGAATATAAAAAAGAGATAAAGGGATCAATAGAGAGAATAGAGAGAAGAGAAAACTCAGAGGGGAGACAAGATAATAGTAATTCTTATTAATCAAATGTGCATTTACAAAACAAATGAGCTAAAGCACTATTTATAGGCTTCAACTATAACCTTAAAATTAAAAGCGAGAAATTTTCAAAATCCTAAAATTAAATGAAAAGATCATAATAATTCAAATATTACGACAATTAAAACAAAATATTCTCGATCTTTCAATCTTCTCAACTCTTCAATATCTTTAATTATTTCTTTTCTTTTTCTTCCTATCGGGGCATCAACAACTTGCTTTTTTGATGGAATGTATATAAGGCACACTACTCCACTTTTGATATTTTCCTTGATGAAATGTTTGTCCACTTTAACATGTTTTGTTCTATCATGTTGAACTGAATTATGAGATATACTTATGGCTGCCTTGCTGTCTTAATAAAGCTTAATAGGCAATTGCACGCCAATGCTTAGTTCTTTATGAAGCATTTGCAACCACAGGCCTTCACAAATTCCATGAGCAACAGCTCTAAACATAGTTTCTTTTCCACTCCTAGACACCACATTCTGTTTTTTTTACTCTTCCAGGTTACTAGGTTGCCCCAAATGAAAGTATGACACCTAGATGTAGATTTTTTTTTTTTGAAGAGCCTGCCCAATTGGGATCAATATTTATTTCAACATTAGGTTGTTTACCTCTTTTGAAAAATAATCCTTTCTTGGGCTACCTTTGAAGTACCTCAAAATTCGTACACAACTCGTAGGTGAATTTCCTTTGGTGAGTGCGTATGTTGACTTATGAAGCTCACAGAAAAGGCAATGTCTAGTCTTGTATGTAACAAGTATATCAATCTTCCACCACACTCTGATATCTTTCCTTGTCAACCAGTTGACCTTCCTCTTCCTCCTCCTCCCCCCTTTCTTTGTCATCTTGCTCTTCTTCTTTCTTCTTCTTTTTCACTCCAGTGGGAGTATCAATTGATTTGTAGCCAAGCATTCTAATTTCTATCAAGAGATCAAGAACATATTTCCTTTGTGAGATGCATATTCCTTTCTTTGACCTAGCTACTTCAATACCTAGAAAATAGCTCATTTGACTGAGATATTTTACTTCAAATTCAGAGGCTAGGACTTTCTTCAATCTCTTTATTTCCTCAATGTCATCTCTAGTTAGGACAATGTCATCTACATAGACAATTAGGAGGGCCTTTTTTCCTTCCCTATGTCTAATATAGAGTGTATGATCAGATTGCCCTACTGATAGTATTCCCTTTTTAGCACCTTTGAGAATCTATCAAGCCATGGTTGGGGTAATTGCTCCAGCCCATAAAGAAATTTCTTTAACTTATAAACCTTGCTGCTTTTGCCTTTGTTTTCAAACCTAGGAGGAAGGGTCCATATAAGCTTCTTTTGTTAATTACCATTGAGTAAAGCATTCTTGATGTCCAATTGATGAAATGGACAATCAAGATTTGCAACTAATGATAATAGAAACTTTGACAGTGTTAAGTTTTGCAACTAGTGCAAATGTCTCAGTGTAGTCGATATCATAGGTTTGAGTAAACCCTTTAGCAACAAAACAAGCTTTATATTTTTCCAAGAAGTCATTGGCATTATACTTTGGCATGAAAAGACCCACTTACATCCTACAAGTTTCTTTCCTAGTGGCAAATCAAAACTCTTCCTAAGTATTGTTCTTTTCTAGAGCTTTCATCGCTTCTATAATTGCCATCCTCCATTTTGGCATTTCAAGAGCTTTGTAGATGTTGTTAGGAAGCTTAATCTTGTCGAGGTTAGTGGTGAGTGCACGAAACAAAGCTGATAAAGCAATATATGAAGCAAAGTGTGGGATATGATGATGGGTACTAGAACGGGTAGGCTTTCTCAAGGCAATAGGTAAATCAAGATTAGATTGTCCACCAGCCTATTCAGAAATTGGCTAAGAAGGCTGAGGATTAGACTCTTCAGGAGCTATCATTTGTTCGGACTACCAACAAAGCTCATCCAAAATGACCATTCAACTCCATGTCATTCCATCCCATGCCATCCTCAAAACATAACCTTAAACAAAGGGGAGTTGTTTGTAGTTTCACTATTTTTTCAGTGGGTGTATGTTACCTTTTTATTGATCCAAAGCAAGTGCTCCAAAGTTGCTCTTTCAACGGAATATGTGAATCAACTTTTAGCTTTCAAAGATAGGGCAGGCACAATGACATAACTTTTTCACCATGAGCCAACTGTTATTATTAACAAATACTTTCAGTTTTGTCAACCAGTGATGCATTAAAGAGATTAACATAATTCCATAATTATATATCTGTGTTTTCTTGCTTTTCTTAATATTTTTATTTGTGAGTTGACTGTTTTTAACTGTATAGCAAATTTTTTTAGCTGCTTTTATGATTTTTTCAGCGCAACTGTGAAGCCTTAATGCGCTTCAGAAGAATGGTCTACGAAAGAAGAATCCTTCTATTGCTGTTGTGGCTACACTGTTTGGAGACAGGGAATAGGCTTTCTCAAGGCAATAGGTAAATCAAGATTAGATTGTCCACCAGCCTATTCAGAAATTGGCTAAGAAGGCTGAGGATAGACTCTTCAGGAGCTATCATTTGTTCGGACTACCAAACAAAGCTCATCCAAAATGACCATTCAACTCCATGTCATTCCATCCCATGCCATCCTCAAAACATAACCTTAAAACAAAGGGAGGTTGTTTGTAGTTTCGTTTCACTTTTTCAGTGGGGGTGTATGTTACCTTTTATTGATCCAAGCAAGTGCTCCAAAGTTGCTCTTTCAACGGAATATGTGAATCAACTTTTAGCTTTCAAAGATAGGGCAGGCACAATGACATAACTTTTTCAACCATGAGCCAACTGTTATTATTAACAAATACTTCAGTTTTGTCAACCAGTGATGCATTAAAGAGATTAACATATTCCATAATTATATATCTGTGTTTTCTTGCTTTTCTTAATATTTTTTTGTGAGTTGACTGTTTTTAACTGTATAGCAAATTTTTTTAGCGGCTTTTATGATTTTCTCAGCGCAACTGTGAAGCCTTAATGCTGCTTCAGAAGAATGTTCTACGAAAGAAGAATCCTTCTATTGCTGTTGTGGCTACACTGTTTGGAGACAGGGAAGATTTTGCTTGGCTTTGAGAAAAATCATATAGGTGATTGGGGTGAAGAAAACATAAACGGACTGTTAGGAAGTGAAAGCTTTGATAATTCCCAGCAAAGAGCAATAGCACTAGGTTGAATAAAAATAAAAATAGGCCTGTATTGGTTATCCAAGGGCCTCCTGGTACAGGGAAGACAGGTTTGCTCAAGCAACTTATAGCATATGCTGTTCAGCGAGGTGAAAGGGTTCTTGTAACAGCACCTACTAATGCAGCTATTGATAACATGGTGGAAAAGCTTTCAAATATTGGATTAAACATTGTGCGGGTTGGCAACCCTGCTCGTATATCAAAAACTGTGGGTTCAAAGTCTCTAGGAGAAATTGTAAATGCTAAGCTTGGAAGTTTTCGAGCTGAGTATGAAAGGAAGAAGTCAGATCTAAGGAGAGATCTTAGATATTGCTTAAAAGATGATTCATTAGCAGCTGGCATACGTCAACTTCTGAAACAGTTGGGAAGGTCACTGAAGAGGAAGGAAAAGGAAACTATGAACGAGGTGCTATCTAATGCTCAAGTTGTGCTTGCCACAAATACTGGTTCAGCTGATCCATTGATTCGAAAGCTAGATGCTTTTGACTTGGTTGTTATAGATGAAGCTGGACAGGCAATTGAACCTTCTTGCTGGATTCCCATATTGCAGGGAAAGCGTTGCATTCTTGCTGGTGATCAATGCCAACTTGCTCCAGTCATATTATCTAGAAAGGCTTTGGAAGGAGGTCTTGGAATATCATTACTGGAGAGGGCTACAACTTTGCATGAAGGGGTTCTCACCACAAGCTTAACAATACAATACCGTATGAATGATGCAATTGCTAGTTGGGCATCAAAGGAGATGTATGGTGGACTATTGAAGTCCTCTGAGAATGTCTTTTATCATCTTCTTGTGGACTCTCCTTTTGTCAAGGTATTACTCCCATAAACAACATTTCTGTTATCATAATTTCCTTCCCCTTATAAATATTTTATTGCAGTAAAACTATACTAAATTGCATTATTACTTGTCCTAACTAAAGCACTTAGACCTTCTAGTTTTCTGTATGCTTGTCCTTTGTTTCTTGAGATAATACTCAGAATTTCTTGTATCTCTTCTTTTGAGATTTTTTTTTTTTTTTACTTACAATCATCTTGGTAGACAATATTCTGTTCATAGTGAATTCAATGAACTCTTAGATCCAAGATTGTCATGCTTCAAATGGGAATGAAGTAAACATGCAAGTTGAGGGGGGGAGGAGAAAAATCTGCAAAGATTAATAATGGGAGTCATATTTCTATTTCATAATGGTATGACTGGGGTATAGGTACAGAGTGCCAATTGAATGGATATTTGCTAATGAGTCTTGCTAACAGTTTTTTAAGATAATGTTTTTCCACCCTTCATGCTAAAACTCACCCTGATCAACCATCAAGTTATGCTTGAGTACTACCTTTGCTTTTTAATCAGGATGCATGCACTGTGAGGATTTATCTTTGACAGTATTTATGCTTTACCTTCTCTGCTATTAATGGTTATTTTTATGAAAAGCTTACCACCCCCTTGCTGCAGCCTACATGGATAACACAGTGTCCTCTGTTGTTGCTCGATACAAGAATGCCATATGGAAGTCTGTCAATTGGTTGCGAAGAGCATCTAGACCCAGCTGGAACAGGTTCATTTTATAATGAAGGAGAAGCTGATATTGTTGTGCAGCATGTCTTTTCCTTAATTTGTGCTGGTAATTATATTGTTAATATGAAGTGCTGATTCTGTGTTTTTTAGTAGTAATATTTCAATTTTTTTCTGAAACATGAATTCTTTAAGGTTCAAATAATAAATGATTCCTACAATGCAACTTTGGCAACAGTAAAAGGGTGCTTTGTGGTTGATATAGATGTTCTGGGTCTTGTATCTGCTGAAACTATTAGGATGGTTAATACCCTGCTTAGTCCAAAGTAGTTCTTCAATAAATATCATGAATTCATGCCTTAATCTGGTATTATGCATATTCTAGAAAACCAAACTGAACTGGTCAGTTTAATTAGAAAACCAGTGAACCTGTTCCTGTCTGGGTTTTTAAAGTAAGAACCAGTGAGAAAAAAAACTGGTCAAGAAGTGGTAGAATTAGTCATAATTGGTAAACTGAAGGGGCTAATGGTCGAGCAGTTCAGCGGTAATTTCCCCCCTCATTAAAACGCACAACAAGCTCTAGATAAACCAGAACAAATAAGAAGAAAGGCATTTGAAAAGCAAGAGTGAGATCAATATTTAACTAGATAAGATACAAAACAACAACAACAACAACAACAAGCCTTTATCCCACTAGGTGGGGCGGCTACATGGATTGCAAGACGCCATTGTGCTCTATCATTTATCAAACTTTTAGGAATATTATTAATTAAGAGATCGCGTTCAACAACTTCCAAGGGTGTTCTCTTAGGCCTTCCTCTACCTCTCTTAATCGGACTCAAAGTTATATGTTCCACTCTTCTCACTGGTGTCTCCCTTGGTCTTTTTTGTACATGCCCAAACCATCTCAACCGATTTTCTACCATTTTTTCCTCAATAGGTGCCACCCTCACTTTTTCGCGTATGTGCTCATTTCGAATTTTATCTTTACGTGTATGTCCGCACATCCATCGTAACATTCTCATCTCTGCTACTCCAACTTTATGCTCTTGCTGTCCCGTTAGAGCCCAGCATTCACTACTATATAACATTACCGGTCTGATAGCAGTGCGATAAAACTTTCCTTTAAGTTTATTAGGCACCTTACGGTCACAAATAACTCCTTTAGCTTTTTTCCAATTAAACCACCCAACTTGAATTCTATGTGAAATATCTCCACTGATTTCGCCATCATTTTGAATAATGGCTCCCAAATATCTAAACTTTTCCACTTGAGATATAATTTGATCTCCCAATTTCACTTCCAAATTATTTTCGAATAGTCCTTTACCAAATTTACAATATAAATATTCTGTCTTACTTCTACTCAGACGAAAACCTTTCGACTCTAATGTCCTCCTCCATAACTCAAGTTTGCAATTAACCTCTTCTCTTGTTTCTGCTATAAGAACTATATCATCCGTGAAGAGCATACATTTCGGGATTTCCTCTTGAATATGTTCCGTCAAAACATTTAAAATCAAGTTGAACAAATAAGGACTCAGAGATGATCACTGATGTAGTCCAATCTTTATAGGAAAATCCTTTGTTTGATCACTAGGCGTTCTTATACTAGTTTTTAACCCCTCATACATATCTTGTATGGCTTTAATATAGGCAATCCGTACTCCCTTTTTTTCCAACGCTTTCCAAAGCACTTCTCTTGGTATACGGTCATAAGCTTTTTCCAAATCAATAAAAACCATGTGTAGATCTTTATCTTTACAACGATACTTTTCCATTAATCCCCTTAGTAGATAAATCGCCTCTGTAGTTGATCTACCTGGCATAAAACCAAATTGATTCTCAGAAATACTTGTCTCTAATCTCAACCTGTGCTCAATTACTTTCTCCCACAATTTCATTGTGTGGCTCATGAGTTTAATCCCTCTATAGTTAGTACAATTCTGAATATCTCCTTTATTTTTATAAATAGGAATTAATGTACTTCTCCACTCATCAGGCATTTTCTTGGACCGTAAAATCACATTAAATAACTTAGTTAACCATCTCACCCCTTCTTCACCAAAACATTTCCATGCTTCGATAGCTATACAATCAGGTCCGTTGGCTCTACCATTTGCCATTTTCTTAAGAGCTTCCTTTACCTCCTTATCACGTATTATTCGATAGAATGACAAATTTTGTTCTCCTTTACTAGTTATTAAATCCTCCAAATTACTAGATGAATCCTCTCCATCATTGAAAAGTTTAGAAAAATAAGTCTCCCATCTATTTTTAATTTCATCATCTGTAACTAAAATTCTTCCCTCTTCATCTTTAATACACTTTACCTGTTCTAGATCTCTTGATTTTCTTTCCCTACTCTTGGCAATCTTATAAATATTTTGCTCTCCTTCCTTCGTCACAAGGTTCTTATAAAATTCTTCAAAAGCTTTAGAACGAGCTTCACCCACAGCTCTCTTAGTTTCCGTCTTAGCCATACGGTACCTCTCCCAATTTTCCTCATTGTTACACAAATGTATGGCTTTAAAACAGTTCTTCTTATACTTGATTTTGTCCTGTACACTATTATTCCACCACCAAGACTCCTTATCTCTCGGACCAGAATCTTTCGATTCTCCCAAAACTACTTTTGCAACCTCCCGTATCTTTTTCGCCATATCCTCCCATATGATGTTAGCACTTCCCTTAGAATCTCAAATTCCTTTATCCAAAAGATTTCGCTTGAAAATATCTTGCTTCTCACCTTTTAATTGCCACCACCTAATCCTTGGTGTTACTACTTGTCGACGTTTTTGGATTTTACTCATAATACACACATCAAGGACTAGGACCCTATGTTGTGTCGTTACAGCATCTCCGGGGATCACCTTACAATTTTTACAAAGTTTTCTATCAGTGTTCCTAATTAAAAGAAAATCAATCTGTGACTTTGAGGCTCCACTTTTGAAAGTGATGAGATGCTCATCTCTCTTCTTGAAACAAGTGTTGGCAATCTTAAAATCATACGCCAATGAGAAATCAAGAAGAGTTTGTCTTTCATTGTTTAGCTCTCCAAAACCAAAACCACCATGTACCCTCGCATACTGATCAGCTTCCCTCCCGACATGCCCATTAAAGTCACCTCCAATAAAAATCTTTTCACTCTGTGGTATGTGTCGAATCAACCCCTCCAGATCCTCCCAAAATAATTCCTTAAGACTGGCTTCTGTCCCAACTTGCGGCGCATAAGCGCTAACAATATTAACAGTCTCACGTCCAATTATCATTTTTAAAGAAATAATTTTGTCTCCAATTTTGCTAACTTCTACAACGTTCTTCTTCCACTCCTTATCTATAATGATACCTACTCCATTGCGTGCACTTACTTTTCCTGTATACCAAAGTTTGAAACCTTGAATATCCTTAGCTTCTTCTCCACGCCATTTTGTTTCTTGCAAGCAAAGGATATTGATTTTCCTTTGAATTATAACCCCTACAACCTCTACAGATTTACAATTTAATGTCCCAACATTCCAAGTACCAAATCTAATTTTGCTCTTATGGACTAACTTCTTTAGCCGCGTGCGTCCAGAATGACGTGGTAGCCCTTGCTCATTTAACACTAAATTCGGGCGCCGATGCAGCGGCTCTAACTCACTTATCATTGTACTCGAGCTATGCAGCGCGTTACTTATGGGCAACAACCTAGCATTAACATTATAACGTCTATTGTCCATGTTCATGATAGATTCAACAAATTTTTACATTGGTTGTTGATGGCCTAACACAACCCTCCTCCTTTACCCGGGCTTGGGACCGGCTATAAACATAGGTGGAGTTATTTAACTAGATAAGATAAAAATAGTAAATTAAATAGCACTCTTACTCTCTGATAGAGCTGAAGAATTATAACAGATTTATTTATCATTTCCTATGGCTTATAGTATAATCTATGGGAAGGGACATGGTGTAATAAAGAAACAAAAGAATTATCTTACAGTGGATAAGAGAATTACCCAAAGGTTCCTAGCCACAGGGGAAAAGGCGGTGTAAGAATAGGGGTTAGGTGAAGCTAGGAGTATGTTCAGCCTTTTGTAACTTTTTGGGTCTTTAAATCTTTCCCTTTGCCTAGAGAGAAGTGTGTGGAGTATTTTGAATATTGAAAGTAGTGAGGGGAGTTCTGGGCTCTTGAATGCTAGGTTGGGGGTGGAGGAAGTCATTTTTCTTCATCATTTTATCTTTTGCTTAGTGTGTGTGACTTATATTTTGTGATTGTTGTTTGGTGGACTGCGTTTTGTGCTGTTTCTGTTTCAGTATGCTGTAATTTTCAGTTCCTTATTTTGCTTGCAATCCGACTTTGTTATTCAGTAATAGTAATTTTTAGTTGCCTTTTGTGCTATATTTTTTGGTTTATGCTTGTTTAAAGCTTATTAGAATTGAGAGTTCCATCACTCTTGTAATCAAATCTGTCCACAATATTGGGCTTGTTCCTTTTATACAGCCCACTAAGTTAATGGGCTGATTAGTGGTTTGATCTATTGTATTCCGCCAATATGGGCTGGCACAAATGGTCAAGGATCAGGAAAACTCCTGTCATTGTCATGGGCATGCATCCAAATCCCTTTGAAGCCATTCAAAGTCTCAATTGATAGGCATTTCTCCCAGGCTAGCCAAGTGGCTTGCAGTTATGACTGGGTTGAAACTGTGATATGGAAATATAAAGATATGGATAATAACTAACAGGTCATTAGTGACCGTTAGAGTGATAGGGTACGATAGGTTATAAATAAGACCCTCATGCATTTGTAATCAGTTGTTGATGGTCAATGAAGTGAATTCCGGTTTCTCTTGACTGTCTTCCCTTCTGTTTCTATCTTCTCTCCCTATTCTTCTTGTCTTTCTCCCTCTTCCCTCTCATTCTCTCTCTTTCCCATCTAAATTCCACATTAAACTGCTTGCAATCCTCTGGGTTGGGTTCAGCATGCCAATGGCATGTTGCCCAATAGTTTACCTTTGTTAAAAAAAGTTGAACAATGATAGAAGTATACTGTTTCCAATCCAGCAAGAACTCGAATAATTAGATTGTTTAAGGATATAGAGCTTCTAAAAGTTGGATTATTTGCA